GCAGGGCATCTTGGTGTAGTGGTTATATTGCCTAGAGCATCTAAGTGATCTACCCTAGCCTATATGAAACTGATAAGTATTTTGTCAAAAGCTGGCACTGGTACCCAGAGTCCACCTCCTCCCTCGCTGCATTGATAATGGAGAATGCATACTTCCTCATTATCTATGTTTATTTTGTCCACCGTGGATCGCTTAGTTTGTCTCAGACTATCACAGACATCCAGATTAGACAAATTAATCATGGGCAATATGACATATAATGAGTCTAATTGGCTGTAAGTAGGCTTTTAAAAGTTTTAAAATAAACTTCAACCTATGATCCTCTCTAAACGGACGCCAAGGTAAGCTGGACAGTTGTTTATCAAATGTATTTAATTACTGTTTAGGAAGACGTGGAAAACAAGTGTGCCCTTCCCATGCCTCTATAAAATCCAATTTATATTCACAATATACTCAGTGACCATCAATCACTAGGAAAGTTGCATTTTGACTCTTATGGGGTGATTTACTAAAGTGAGAATTCAAATTGAATTCAAAGTGAATTTTTAAATTTAAGGCCACAGTAGCCAAACGGATGGCATAACTAAATTGGGGAATTTTCCCAGTTCAACTGTTTTGACCTTAAATTTGAAATTCACTTTGAATTTTCTAATTTAAGTGAATTGCCCTTTTTTTTGTGGTTTGTTTTCTCAAATATGCTTGCAAAGACATCTGCGTATGTCTACCTGTCTGTCTATCTATCATTCACCAACTCTAATAATCTATTTAGAATATTGTTTAATTTATTCAATGTATTCAATTTTACAGACTCCAGAAGAAGGTGCTGCTACATCAGTCTATGCTTCAGTATCACCTGAACTTGAAGGAGTTGGGGGTTGCTATCTCTACAATGGTCAAAAAACTAAATCTGCAGACAAGTCCTACAATGAAGATTTGCAGAGAAAGCTGTGGATAGAAAGCTGCAAATTCACTGGGATACCTGTTTCAGTGTAACGTTGATCATTCCAAATGTCAATAATGCTAACCTTACCTCCTTTGCAGAAATATGTTCTATATCTTTATCACAGTGAAAACTACGAGAAATGAGAAAGTATTAGTTAAAAAATTATTTGACGAAAGTAGTATCAGTTTAATTGTTAAATAAAATAAAAATATTTTTCATTAAATTCAGTCTTTGCAAAGTGATTGATATAGTTCTTCATTTGTGAAGATTATCATTTTCTACTTCTTGATCCCTGCAGGAAACTGTCCACAGAATACTAATTGAAAATGGAGAACTAAAAACTCCGATTCACTTATGTTATTTGAAAATCACTACTGCAATTTGCTTTGGGTATTTGGTTTCTGTTATTTTGAGTCAAATTACTCCTTGACATATGCTTTAATAATAATTAATAATAAAAAGTCAGTTTACAAAGGATGCACATGTAAGAATTACTGGATTCAAAGTGGACACTGATGGAACCGAATGAGAAATGCAAATATTCATGTGGCAGTTTTAACTTATTTTTATTAATCCAGCCTAGATCTGGTCTTTAGTGATTAATCCCAGTAAATAAGTTATGAAGCAGCTTCGAATTGCTCTTTAAAGGGAGAAAACTAACTGTTTTTTTTACACTGTAAACAGACAATGGACTAATAAGACATTTTAGAAAATAGAAATTGTTCAAACTGCATTCTGCATGCTTCTTTTATGGTCATCTAACAAAGTGATACACATAATTATAGAATTACACAAAATTCTAGAATTGATACACATAATTCTAGAATTTGTAGATTTTACAAAATCAATTCTTGGATATTTGCCTGTAGTAGACTTTATTAAAAACACAAACCTTTACAGGAAAAGTAATATACCACAACATTTCTTTGAAATTAATACTGGAAAACAATTACAAGTTTATATACAACAAATAAAATTACATGGCTCTGTTTGCTATACAGAGCTACATCATAGTAAAATATCATAAATAAGAAAACTGTGCAGAAGTGAAATAGGTATAAATTAAAAGTTTTTAAACCATATTGAACTACTTGTGTCAAAATTATATTAATTAAAATGAAAACTTTTTGTTTTACAATTTTCACTATTCTGTACTAATTTAGTTATATTTATATTTTCAAATTGTGTCATATATTTACACACACACACACACGCAATAAAGCATTACATTCCTATTTTAAAATATGTTATACTTATCTTAACATATATATTTTTTATCTTTAGGTTAATTTTTACACACACACACATACATGTATATATATATATATATATATATATATATATATATATATGTGTGTGTATTTGGATTTATACAATAGGATGGCTAGAAGGTTGGAGGAGATTTTAAACTAGTAGTAGGGGTGCGGGTCATAGCAATCTACAAAATAGAGATAGGTCAGAAAGGAGATGGGCTTTAGCTCAGTATAAAGGGGGTGGAGATGTGGGAGGGGCAAGCTCAGAACAGAGAAGGTATGTAATGTTAATAATTCACAAAAAGTACAAGTGACTCATGATATTAAATGTATGCTTAATAATGCAAGGAGCCTAAATAACAAAATGGGGGACTAGAGGCAATAGCATACACTAAACAATGACATAATAGGCATAACTGAAACATGGTGGGATTAGACACATGTCTGGGCAGTTAACTTAAATGGGTATATGTTGTTTAGGAAGGATAGGAAAAACAAGAGGTGTGGTGGGGTATGTTTGTATGTCAACCATGAGTTAAAGCCAAATCTTAAGCAAGTGGAATGTGATAAGGAAAATGTAGAAGCTTTATGGGCAAAAGGAAGGAAATCAACTATTGGTTGGGATATGTTATAAACCACCTAATGTTAATATTGATGAGGAACAACAGCTGTTTGAGCAATTTGAGAAAGCTGCAAATCTGGGTAACACTTTATTTTTGAAGATTTTAATTACCTGGACATAAATTGGGACAGAGGGACTAGTAGCTCAGCAAAGGGAATTAGGTTTTTGAACTTGTTAAATGACACCTTCATGTCACAACTTGTACAAGCACCAACTAGAAAGGACACTTGTCTGGACCTGGTTAAAGCAAACAACGTTGATCTTTTGACCAACATTCAAGTAGGTGAGCACTTGGGAAATAGTGATCACAATATAGAGTCCTTTGAAATGAACTCAAGAAAACAAAAGCACATGGGGTATACTAAAAGATATCATTTTAAAAACGCCAATTTCTATAAGTTAAGGGCAGCTTTACAATATATTGACTGGCATAAACTCTTTAGTGAAAAGAACACTGAGGATAAATGGAACATCTTGCAACAAATATTAGAAAGGTACATTTCTTAGTATGTACCATTCGGTAAAAAATATAAAAGAAACAAATTGAAACCGATGTGGCTTAGTAGAGAAGTAAAACAAGAGATTAAAAAGAAGAAAATGGCATTTAAAGCATTTAAATCAGACAAATTAGATGCATCCTATAAAAGATATAAGGAAGCCAATAATGCGTGCAAAAAGGCGATTAGATTTGCTAAACTTGAAAATGAAAAAATGATAGCCAAAGAGAGCAAAACCAACCCCAAAGTACATACATTCTAAAAAATAAAAATGAAAGTGTAGATACACTAAAAACTGGAATGGGGGTGTTAGTTAATGAAGACCAGGAAAAGGCAGGAATTTTAAATAACTGTTTCTCCTCTGTATATATTAAGGAAGAACCCATGGCATTAGATGTGCAAATGATTGCTGCTAAAACTTGCGGAATAATTGTAATTGGTTAACTCAAGAAAAGGTTGTGCAGCAACTAAATAAAGTTAATATAAACAAAGCTCCAGGGCATGATGGTATTCATCCACAAGTACTTAAGGAACTAAGTGTAAAAATAAGCGAATCTTTCAAGATTCTTTTCTTTCAGGAAGTGTTCCGGAGGATTGGAGGAAGGCAGATGTGGTTCCTATATTCAAAAAGGGTTCAAAATCCTTGCCTGGAAAGTATAGACCTGTGAGCTTAACTTCTGTGGCTGGAAAAGTATTTGAAAGGTTATTAAGGGATAATATTCAAGAATTCCTTGAGAAGAACATGGTTATTAGCAAAAATCAGCATGGTTTTATGAAGCACAGGTCATGTCAAACTAACTTGATTGCATTCTACGAAGAAGTAAGTAGAAGTATAGATCAGGGTGTTGCAGTAGATGTGATCTATTTGGATTTTGCCAAGGCATTTGATACAGTTCCATTCAAGAAAATAAATCGGACTAGATGAAAATGCTTGTTTTGGGGTAGAACATTGGCTTAAAAATAGAGTACAAAGAGTTGTAATTAATGGTACATTTTCAAACTGGACAGATGTGGCAGGTGGTGTCCCTCAGGGTTCTGTTCTGGGACCCCTTCTATTTAACATGTTTATAAATGATCTTGAAAAAAGCATTGAAATTCATGTTTCAGTGTTTGTAGATGACACAAAACTCTGTAAAGTAATACAATGTGAGCAATATATTACTTTGCTGCAAAGGGATTTAGATAGACTGGGGGACTGGGCACTCAAATGGCAGATGAAATTTAATGTTGAAAAATGCAAAGTTATGCACTTCGGCGTAAAGAATGCACAAGCAACGTATACCCTTAATGGAAGCAAATTAGGGATAACAACACACGAAAAGGACTTGGGAATTGTTATAGACAACAAACTATGCAACAATGTGCAATGTCAATCCGCAGTGGCTAAGGCTAGTAAGGTATTGTCATGCATGAAAAGGGGCATTCATTCTTGGGATGAGAATATAATTTTGCCTCTTTATAAATCACTGGTAAGACCACATATTGAATATGCTGTGCAATTTTGGGCACCTGTTCTAAAGAAGGATATTATGGCACTAGAAAAAGTGCAGAGGCGGGCTACACAATTAATAAAAGGAATGGAACATATCAGCTATGAAGAAAGGTTAACACATTTAAACCTCTTTAGTTTAGAAAAACGTTGCCTGAGAGGGCATATGATAGCATTATACAAATATATTCGAGGCCAATACAAACCATTGTGTGGAAATCTATTCACAAACCGGACTTTACATAGGACACGAGGTCATGCGTTTAGACTGGAAGAAAGAAGATTTTGTCTAAGGCAAAGAAAAAATTTTTTTTTTTACTGTAAGAACAATAAGGATGTGGAATTGTCTGCCTGAAGAAGTGGTTTTATCAGAGTCCATACAGATGTTCAAACAGCAACTAGATGCATACTTGTAAAAACAGAATATTCAAGGATATAATTTTTAAATTTAGGGTAATAGCTGCTTGATCCAACGATAAATCTGACTGCCATTCTTGGGTCAAGAAGGAATTTTATTTCCTAGTTTGTTGCAAAATTGGAAGTGCTTCAAACTAGGGTTTTTTGCCTTCTTTTGGTTTAACAGCAAAAAACTAATGTGAGGAAGGCTGAACTTGATGGACACAAGTCTCTTTTCAGCTATGTAACTATGTAACTATGTAATATATATCTGCAATTTATATTTAGATTGTTAAAATGTTTTATATACTTATCTTTGCAATATTTCCTAATAACCAATAATAATAAAGCAAAGGAGAAGATGAATAAGAAAAATAAACATAAGGTGTAAGTAATAAGTGAATACATACTTAAAATAATAACATATTGGGTGCAATCTAGCAAACTATCTTTGTTTCTTAAAGTGTTAACGTTTATAGGCACAACTATGCATATATATTGATTCATAAATAACATTTTAGAAAAAGTAAGCGGGAAAACACCCAGAATACGTATAAGTAAATATATGGATTAAACAACAACCTGATATAGGATATGCTCCATATAGTGGATTCTGTATAAAATTCAAAATGCTGACATAGCGTAATACAGTAAACAAGAAAAAAATATAAATATAGGTGAATATAGATGCACTCACAAAGGCACGTGAAATAAGGCTTTTCACCCTCTCTGGGGTAATATGAAGTATGATGAACGAACTGGAGAATCACCTCATCGGATATATGTAGATAAAGGAAATCAGAGATAGTGAAGTTTGTTATGAAAATACAAAATCACATTTATTGGTCACACTTACATATATGTAAATCATAAAAAGCATATCTCCTTATAACCTGGAACTCCCTCCAGTGTGGTCAGCGGTCCAGAATAGGATCCAACAGGAGTAGTTATGGGAAAAACAGCCCAAATACAAATAAATAAAAAATTGAGCAATAATTAAAACAATAATAAATGGTAAGAGTCCATATATAAAGAATCCAACGCGTTTCGTCCTGTAGGGGTGTAGGACTTCTTCAGGGATATATCAATACTTCTATTTTCCGGTTTAAATACTGCTGCAGATCTATACTTGATTGTGTCCATCTGTTTTGCAGCGTGCGTTCCATCCGTGGAACGCATAAAGGCGCGAAATGCTCCATAATTCAAGAGAAACAGTTCCGTATTATACCGCGCATGCGTGTAATGTACACGCATGCGCGTAATGAAAAGAGACCGAAACCTAGAAGGAACATAAAACAAAAGGCGAAAACATCGCCTGAGACACTAATAAAGCAAAAAACAGTAGGTATAAATTGCATTGGAGGATGTAGGTATATGAAAAAAGAGGAATAAATGAAAGGGAACTAGGTACAAAAACCAAATAGAATAAAAAAACTAATATAAAGACTAATATTAAAAAATATATATAATAATGAAAAATACATATATATATACAAAAACACATATAAATATACAAGATCCTATATGTGTAAACATACATCCTGCAATGCAATACATCCAAAAAAATAAGACCAGATACAATGTCCATATTGTGCAATACACATAAATACCCAAAACTTAAGATATATACAGAGATGAGAGGAAGGACACCCTGTATATATATATATATATATAACTGTATATAGAAGAAAAGAGAATCTGCTATTAAATAAGACCATGAAGGTCTATTTCTTGGTTGAGTCCTAAATGTAAAGTTTTTAAATTAAAAATCCACAGAGCCTCCTTTCTAATTAGTTCCTGATTTTTATCCCCTCCTCTCCAGCCCATCTGGACTAGATCTATGCCGTATGCTAGAAAGGTGTTCCAACTGAATAAAGGACAAGAATTGCAATGTCTAGGGACACTGTGATCTAATTTATTTTTCTTTATATTATTAAAGTGTTCCAAAATTCTAATGTGTAATTTTCTAGAGGTACGACCAACGTATTGAGCTCCACATCCACATTGTAATAAATATATAACAAAAGTAGAGGAGCAATGAATATGTTTTTTAATGTTATAGACTTTTTTGGTATAGGTTCCTATAAAATCTGTAATTTTCCTTTTTTGATATTTACAAGTAGAACAACGGCCACAACTATAAAAGCCAGTGATAGGGGTCTGGAAGATATTATTACAAAGAGGAGATACAGGCAATAAGCTTGGTGCTAATTTATTTTTTAAGTTAGTGGATTTTTTATATATTACTGTTGGAAATTTTGGTAACACGTATTTCAAAATATCATCTTTCATTAGAATGTACCAATGTTTTTTCAGTATTTTTTCGACTTTTTTTGCTTGAGAATTATATTGGGTAATGAAGGCAAATTCAAATTTATTACTATTATTTTTGTTTGTATTTTTACATATAAAGTTATTATTTACATTGTGTTGAAAAATAGTATGATCAGGAGAGACTTTTGTTATTTGGTCATTAACATTTTTGTTTGCCAAAAGATGGGATCTATCTAAATTGGATATTTCCAATTCCGTAACTTCCATATTTTTGGCATCATAACCCTTTTCTATATATCTTTGTTTGATGATTGTCGATTGCTCTAAAAAAACTTCTTTCTCTGTACAGTTCCTCCTAAGTCGGGTAAACTGACTTTTAGGAATATTTTTTAACCAAGGGGGATGGTGGGCACTTGAGCATTCAATCGCTGTATTACAGTCTGTAGGTTTGAAATAAGTTTTGGTTTTTAACTGATTGTGTTCTATGTATATGGTCAAATCCAAAAAATTAATCAAAGAATCACTGACCGTAGAAGTGAAAGTTAAATTATAATCATTATTGTTAATCTGATTCAAAAAAAGACTCAGATCTTCTGAGGTACCATCCCAGATGATAAGAACATCATCTATGTAGCGTCGCCATAGGACCAGACCACCCCCAGTTGGATCTCCCAACCTAATATGTTGTTGTTCCCAATGTGTCCTATGGCGACGCTACATAGATGATGTTCTTATCATCTGGGATGGTACCTCAGAAGATCTGAGTCTTTTTTTGAATCAGATTAACAATAATGATTATAATTTAACTTTCACTTCTACGGTCAGTGATTCTTTGATTAATTTTTTGGATTTGACCATATACATAGAACACAATCAGTTAAAAACCAAAACTTATTTCAAACCTACAGACTGTAATACAGCGATTGAATGCTCAAGTGCCCACCATCCCCCTTGGTTAAAAAATATTCCTAAAAGTCAGTTTACCCGACTTAGGAGGAACTGTACAGAGAAAGAAGTTTTTTTAGAGCAATCGACAATCATCAAACAAAGATATATAGAAAAGGGTTATGATGCCAAAAATATGGAAGTTACGGAATTGGAAATATCCAATTTAGATAGATCCCATCTTTTGGCAAACAAAAATGTTAATGACCAAATAACAAAAGTCTCTCCTGATCATACTATTTTTCAACACAATGTAAATAATAACTTTATATGTAAAAATACAAACAAAAATAATAGTAATAAATTTGAATTTGCCTTCATTACCCAATATAATTCTCAAGCAAAAAAAGTCGAAAAAATACTGAAAAAACATTGGTACATTCTAATGAAAGATGATATTTTGAAATACGTGTTACCAAAATTTCCAACAGTAATATATAAAAAATCCACTAACTTAAAAAATAAATTAGCACCAAGCTTATTGCCTGTATCTCCTCTTTGTAATAATATCTTCCAGACCCCTATCACTGGCTTTTATAGTTGTGGCCGTTGTTCTACTTGTAAATATCAAAAAAGGAAAATTACAGATTTTATAGGAACCTATACCAAAAAAGTCTATAACATTAAAAAACATATTCATTGCTCCTCTACTTTTGTTATATATTTATTACAATGTGGATGTGGAGCTCAATACGTTGGTCGTACCTCTAGAAAATTACACATTAGAATTTTGGAACACTTTAATAATATAAAGAAAAATAAATTAGATCACAGTGTCCCTAGACATTGCAATTCTTGTCCTTTATTCAGTTGGAACACCTTTCTAGCATACGGCATAGATCTAGTCCAGATGGGCTGGAGAGGAGGGGATAAAAATCAGGAACTAATTAGAAAGGAGGCTCTGTGGATTTTTAATTTAAAAACTTTACATTTAGGACTCAACCAAGAAATAGACCTTCATGGTCTTATTTAATAGCAGATTCTCTTTTCTTCTATATACAGTTATATATATATATATATATATATATATATATATACAGGGTGTCCTTCCTCTCATCTCTGTATATATCTTAAGTTTTGGGTATTTATGTGTATTGCACAATATGGACATTGTATCTGGTCTTATTTTTTTGGATGTATTGCATTGCAGGATGTATGTTTACACATATAGGATCTTGTATATTTATATGTGTTTTTGTATATATATATGTATTTTTCATTATTATATATATTTTTTAATATTAGTCTTTATATTAGTTTTTTTATTCTATTTGGTTTTTGTACCTAGTTCCCTTTCATTTATTCCTCTTTTTTCATATACCTACATCCTCCAATGCAATTTATACCTACTGTTTTTTGCTTTATTAGTGTCTCAGGCGATGTTTTCGCCTTTTGTTTTATGTTCCTTCTAGGTTTCGGTCTCTTTTCATTACGCGCATGCGTGTACATTACACGCATGCGCGGTATAATACGGAACTGTTTCTCTTGAATTATGGAGCATTTCGCGCCTTTATGCGTTCCACGGATGGAACGCACGCTGCAAAACAGATGGACACAATCAAGTATAGATCTGCAGCAGTATTTAAACCGGAAAATAGAAGTATTGATATATCCCTGAAGAAGTCCTACACCCCTACAGGACGAAACGCGTTGGATTCTTTATATATGGACTCTTACCATTTATTATTGTTTTAATTATTGCTCAATTTTTTATTTATTTGTATTTGGGCTGTTTTTCCCATAACTACTCCTGTTGGATCCTATTCTGGACCGCTGACCACACTGGAGGGAGTTCCAGGTTATAAGGAGATATGCTTTTTATGATTTACATATATGTAAGTGTGACCAATAAATGTGATTTTGTATTTTCATAACAAACTTCACTATCTCTGATTTCCTTTATCTACATATATCCGATGAGGTGATTCTCCAGTTCGTTCATCATACTTCATATTACCCCAGAGAGGGTGAAAAGCCTTATTTCACGTGCCTTTGTGAGTGCATCTATATTCACCTATATTTATATTTTTTTCTTGTTTACTGTATTACGCTATGTCAGCATTTTGAATTTTATACAGAATCCACTATATGGAGCATATCCTATATCAGGTTGTTGTTTAATCCATATATTTACTTATACGTATTCTGGGTGTTTTCCCGCTTACTTTTTCTATATTGTCTCTTGGGTGTCTGTGAGGTACACCTGGGAATTCTTCCAGCTATACGTTCTTATTTCACATTTGTAGTGTATATACTATTTTTTTGCTTAAGTTTATCTATTACTTCACTATTGTATATCACTACTGTTTTCACTTTCAATGGCTTCACATAATGTTTATGATGAGATCAGAAATGAGAGGAAACTAAGAGTTGATGCTTTGTTTCGAGGAGGTTCCAAATTTTCAGATAGTTCTTTGAATCATAAATTTATTCAATTAGAGCGATTATTTGAAAAAGAAACCCGTAAATGGTGGGAAATTACATCTTTAGAACAGTATTTAGCATATGATATTATCCCTCGTGGTCTAAGAGTTTTAAAAACTCCAGCTTTTGGCCTAGATGATCAAATCCTAATGCAAGATTGGCATAATGCCAACGATGAATGTTCGAAACAATATATGATCAGTCTAATTAATTATCAAAAAAGATCTTTAAAGACATTAGAGGAGGAAATTAATAAAGTGGAGATGGATATATCCACACACAAAGAACAAAAAGCAGTAGAAAATAACTATAAGATTCTGAAAGATAAGATTAAAGTGGTAGATGATAAGATCTCTAGTACTAAATCTACTAAATTCAAAAGAGACCAAGATGATTACCAAAAGGGAAATCAACGAAATTGGCCTAGATCTAAGAATGACCAAAGACAATCAGAAAACCACCCCATTCAAAATTATAGAACTTCTAGATTTTCTAGTTTCCGTCCTAAAAAATCCTTTGGACGACGTTTTTCTAATTCCAATTCCAATTTTCATTCCAACACCTATACGGACAATAGTTCCAAAACTTCATATGCTTCAAAACTCTATCCTCATAATTCTAATTATACTAGATCAAATAAATCTCCTAACCATCCTAGATATTTTAAAGGAAATCAGGAAGTTTTTTTAGACAAGGAGCAAGACCAAAGGTTGGATCAGACACAATATTCAGTCCATACTCAAAACAGGTTCCAAATGTTAAAATCCCCCATAAAAAAGAGACCACATCTAGAAATGGAGGAAGAAGACATTCCTCTACATCTTTCATACAGACAAAATTAAATGATTCTGAAGGCATTTTCAATTTATCTGATACAGTCCTTTCTATACAAGAACTATCATTATTAAAAAAGGGTTTGAAATTTGCCCCTGCTTCTAATTGTAATTCTTTTAATTTATATTTAGACAACCAAAAATTTTTAAGAAAATTAACTTTAAAAAGATTCTTCAAGGAAAAGGAAAGAGAACTTATCCCTAATAGTGTTGAATATAAAGACACCAATTCAGTTGTTACATCAATAGAACCTAAAATTATTCATACTTCTTTAAAACCAAAATCAAATTTTTTTCCATGGACAGCTAAAAGCAAATTCTTAGAGGTATTTAATGAATTGGTACAGGAGGATCTCAATAAAATTGCAGAAAATAAATTCAAACCTAATCTTACCCAAAAAGAAAAATCTGCTCTAAAAGCTTTAACTGACAATAAAAATATCATTATAAAAGAAGCTGATAAAGGGGGGGGTGTTGTTATTATGAATAAATCGTATTATTTACAAGAAGCATACAACATCCTCCATGATCTAAACACGTATCAAATCTTGGAAAAAAATCCTACCTCTGAGTTTTTGGTGGACCTTAAGTCATTATTATTAAAAGGTGTCGATAACAAAATAATTAGTCAAGACGAATTTAAATATATTTTCAATCCTAATTGCCAGGTGGCGGTGTTTTCCCGCTTACTTTTTCTATATTGTCTCTTGGGTGTCTGTGAGGTACACCTGGGAATTCTTCCAGCTATACGTTCTTATTTCACATTTGTAGTGTATATACTATTTTTTTGCTTAAGTTTATCTATAAATAACATTTTGCCTTCATTTGGTATCCAGACCTTCATGGCTGTATTTTCTGAGGACATCAGGAAAACAAGCCACAAATTAATACGCGTTTGATTGCTCAAAAAATCTAAAACATTTATCAGCACTAATTTGATGCTCCAAATGTTCAAATGAAGTATTGATGGAAGACATCTAAACTCAGCAATTATTCACATAATGTAAATTAAAAATGAAAATATGTTTTCTGATTAGGCATCATACCAAATAAATATATGTCTAATATAAATATATGTACACATGTCTACTGATCTAAATAACCTATTTCCATCTCATTCTAATGCAAAATATTAAAATGTGTTTGCTATAATAGCTAAATTTTTGCAAAGCTCTCAGAAGTCCGAACTTAAAAGGTTCTTGTAATGAATAATTCTATTAACATTTGATATAATTTAAAACAAGGGAGCCAGAGTGTGCTTTCATAATAAATTATGAATATCATTCAGTATTTAAAATATAGATCGACGTGGATTTTTTTTATATTAATGTTGATCCCAAAATGACAGAAATGTTTCATAAGAGTTAGTAGTTTGTGTTAATAACACACAAAACAAAGAGAAAAGAAAAAGAAGCACAAGAAAAAAACAAAGGAAAAACAAATGAAATATTGTTTATATATATATATATATATATGCATATTTCAATTACAATTAGAAATCAAGATTAGACATCAGGGATATAATTCAAGATCAGAGATTTAAGAGCAAGATTAGAGATCAAGATTAGAACTGAAGATTAGAGAGCAAGATTAGAGATCAGTATTAGAGCTCAAGATTAGAGATCAGGATTAGAGATCAAGATTAAAAATCAAGGTTGGAAATCAAGTCTCGAAATCCAGTTTAAAAAATCTAGATCTGAAATGTACTATTTTGACTTATTATGATATATTATATTATAAACCAAATCTTTCTTAATTCTAAGTGCCCTATATGATACAATTAATACTTGTCTCTGCATCTTAATCCAGATTTATTCTTAATTTTATTCTCAGCCAGCCATCCTCTTCTCTTGCCCTTTCCTCTAATACAGAACCTCAAATTTTCCAGAACTTGGTCAAGGAGTTAGTAGCTGAACATGCCATATGTTCCATTTGACATATATTATAGAGAATTTTTATTAAAGCTTGTAATGAAGGAGCTTTCATTCTTTTCTAATGTTTAGCAATAAAAGTTTTAATAGTCATAAAAAAAAGGATATACATTTTTTACTTTGCATGGAAATTGTTATTGGATAATTATTTAATAGTGCTACCTCTAAAGAAAAGGTACTGCAAACCTGAAGATTAGATTTAATAAGATCATATAATTTTTCCCATACCCAAGAAATTTTTTTGCAATTCCACCAGATATGTAATAGTGAGCCAATCTCCCCACAGTCTCGCCAGCCTGAAATATCTAAATCAGGATATTGCAAGATTGGTTGAAGTATCTTCACAAATTAATCATGTTTTAAAACTAGTAGTCGGTAACAAAACCAGAAATTTAGGTAGCTCGGATGTTGACCATAAGAACCAGGATACCCTTCCCCTTTTCAGATAAGTGTCTTCTATATCAACCCATGGCACCAATTCTGGTTTAGAACAATACAACAAGGTTTGTGATATAGAAGAAGTGTTACAATAATGAATTAGATTTAGAACCCCCATAACTCCTTTTTGTCTTGATCTATATAACGTAGTTAAAGAAACTCTCAATTTTTTATGAGCATGTATGAATTTGATTATGTATAACTTTTTCTTTGTGTTATTTTCCTGTATTATTTAGTTTTTTTCTGTACTATTTTGATGTAGTTTTTATATATTCTAATAAAATATATATTTTTTAAAAGTACTTTGTGTTAAATTTGATTAACTTATTCATCTTTTTTGAAAACTGCAGCCTGTTTTTCATATATGAAAAGTTTATATAAGAGAGAGAGAAATATTTCTTTTTATTTCTATTTTATTCATTAAACCATTAATTGTTTGTTTATATGAGAGAGAGATAGGTAGTTATTTTTTTTATTTTTTTATTTATTATAGTTCCTATGCCAGGAATGCTTTGTTGCCTCTCCCCATTGTAAGTTGTCAAGCAGTTTGACTGCTTACCTGGTGTTCACAGTTTGACTGCTTACCTGGCGCTGCTTAGTTAGCTTAGTTGAGCTAACAGAAGCTCCCAAGAAGGAGCTTCTGAATCTGCTAGTAGCTGAGACGAGGCAGGAACCATTCTAAGAAAAGTTTGTTTACTTATTATGGGGGCACCAGAAGTGGTATGGTGCTTCAACAGTTCCTTTAACTGGTTGGGGGCATGCATTATTATAGTTACTTTGTGAACTTCTTTTTTACAATTGTGTTGCTAATGAAAGGATTGTATATTTTAGATTTAAAGCCGCTGTTTTCATAGCCAAAAGATAAATATTCAAAGGTTGTCAGGGACATTACTAAATATTGTAAGTATAAAATTTTTTGTTGTTGTTTTGTTATGCTTTTTTATATCCACTTTCCCAATGCTCATTAGAGGTTTAGGTGAGGACATATTTGTATTATTATTTTAATTGCCTTTGCTTATCGGAAAGGGAAGGGGCTTTAAAATTAGTATGTAGTCAGGAGACTGGAGATCCCTGGTCAAACTGTTATATTAGAACTAGATGATTGGGCATTCCCTATTTGTTATATTTGTTATTTGGTAAGGTGGCTTAGTAATTGGGCTATGCAACTTGTGGATTCCATGCAGAGCCGGCGCTACCATAAGGCGGGGCAAGCGGCCACCTTAGGGTGCACCGGTCCTATGGGCGCAAATAAGTCCGGGTGACTGTCAGGAGGTGGGAGCACAGAGAGCCCCTCTCCTGACAGTCACTTAATGTTGCAATGCCAAATTTACTAGCCGCTGTACGTTGATGCCACTGCCAGCCGTGGGAGGGGGAAAAAAATACTGTAGAGCCTCAAAGGGGATGGTAACCGAGAGGAGCAGCTGCGTCCAAACGCATTATGAGCTAAAGGTCGCTGGGATACATGACATCCTACCCTGGCGGCCGAGTGCTCTGGAGAAAGAATGTCAGCTTCCATAGGGCAGCAAC